ATATCAAGATCCTGTAGATGCCACAGAAATCATCATCTCCACTCCTTACAGAAGCAGCTACAGGTTAAGTACCAACAGCAGGAATTCCTCTTGCCCGTCAATGTGGCAGAGACCATCCTCCCCACACAAAGGGGCAGCTGGGTATCTCACCCACATGCATGTCAGCCATGCAGACTCCTTTCAGGTGTATTTTCAGGCAGAGCAGATAGACATCAGACTGGTCTGAAGCTAAAACACAATTTTGTAATGGAGGGAGAATAAAAACTCTCATAACTTTAGAGCTTTATTTCACAATCTATTTGCTGACAGCTTTCTTTAGGTGAATTTGGGGATAGGACTATGTTGGCAGAGATTTTAATTCTTCATACTCTTCTATAACTCCATCAGAATTCTTTAAATTACATTAAAAATCTCATGTCCTATTGCATGCTTAGTATTTGTGTTATATTGATAAAATTTAGCTTTCCCAGTTCCTAGATTTCAGACAACAGTGTTCTACTGTTTACATAGAAATCGGTGCTTCCTATCAGCTCTTACTGAGAAAATATCCTCTCAGTAAGTTTTATCAGGAGAGACAGGGGGAGAAAAAAGAAGCGAAGTTTTGGGAGTTTCGTTGTTTTTTTAAAAATCTTTTGCATTATGTCATAACAAAGACAATGATATTGTTTAGTTACAAAGACAAGGAGGGCTTATAATCCACAGCAGGAGTGGTGGCTATGCATTGACCTTTTTGCCAGGGACACTGTTTGTGTGTGGGCAGAGATACCTCTCCCCTCCCCAAAAGCAGACTGACCCCCCAGACAGACACCTCTCCCAGACCTCCTCTGAAGGAAGGCTACGAGTGACGCACATGCAGAGTTAGCAAGAGACTTGTCAGCGCCTTATAATTACAGTGTGCTTTCAGTCAGAATGACATTTTTTATTATAGGCAACTAAGGGCAGAATTAAAGTAAATCTCCATGAACATGCACTTTGTATGGGCCTAGGGGTGTCCTCTGCTGAAACCTGCCTCTTTTGTGGGTTGCAGAGGTGCCATTGACCTTAGATGAATGACAAACTCCAATTAAGGCCGAAAATCAATACAGAAGAACAAAACAGTTAATTGCTACAGTGTATGCAGTTCTTTGGCCAAAATACAGTACCAAAAAACCCGAAACGGCTTTAATTCCTCTGGTTTCTTTCTAGAATAATTTTATAAACCCATTCCTGTCTATTCCACTCCTAATGGCCAACCTTTCAAGAGAGAATAAGATCCACAGCAACATTTTCTTTAAAAGTTAAGCACACGACACAGAACTGAAAGTATTTTTCCTTATTCTAATAAAGCTGAGTTCAATATTTAGTTTGCTTGCAATCTTACCCACCCCAACTCAGGCCAGCACAGAGCATGCACCTCCTCAAGTGACATTTCCTGTGACCAAAAAACAAAAGGCATTTCTGGTGATCTGTCAGAGGAACACACAAGAATTACTTTGGCTGTTCTACCTGTGACGTTGAAAGAGGAGATGTTGAAATGGATTTCAAATAGTGAACTGCAACAGGAAAAACTCCAGCAACATTAAGAAAAACACATTTTTAAAGATTTCAAAACAGGTCCCAAAAGCACCACCAAGCGAAACTCAGGTCTTCCATAGTCAACTGGAGGGAGAGCTTTTGTACACAAAATGGAGAGAGTATCCTCCTACAGAAACCTTCCTGCAAGATTTAGAAACAACCGCTGTGAGCTAGGCTGGGTTTCAGTGCCACATCCCTCCTCTCCAGTAACACCTGAGTTACTGCAGATCTCCCCATCACTTCATTTCATTCTAATCTATAAAAATAAATTTATTAGATACATTGAACAGGACAAAACAGTGTTGCCAGGTGCTTCTGGATATGAAAAGCAGAGAGTGGGAGCTTTAATGAAGTTAGCTCTTAGTCATAGGAAGGTGATAAATGCAGAAAGAAAATATCCTCTTGTTAATGTTTGTGTTTACCATTTTTCCCAAGTTTAAAGACAGTGGATGTTATTCTGTCTTGCACCTCTAGTCAGTCAGATACAGCAGCGAAGTCAGTTAGTAACACGCTGGCATTCTGAGCATTCATTTGCACAGGAATGATGAGACAAGGCACAACAGAAGAAGAAAGAAAAAAAAAAGGCCTTAACACTTAGTTTCTTTTTCCTTAAACTCAGCTGCTATTCTGTTATATTTGACTTTCAGTGGAGGAAAATTTAGCCAAAATTAACAAGAGCTCAAGTACAACAACTTGTGTATACAAAATTTCATGGACTCAAATTGCTGACATAACCATGTCAAATAAGGATCTTGAAACATTCATCTCAGATACATCAAACTTTCTAGAGCAAACAAAATTGCGTGATTTCTGTCTTGAATGGTCCCACACAAGAGCTCACACTGTGGCTCCACTACGCCTTTACATCACGTTACAAGGGCAAAAAGTCCATAAAGCAGAATATCCCAAACCACATAGAAATCCTCAGTGGACACAGAGTGGCACAGCTCAGTCCTCCCCAGGGTCTGTGTTGAAAAGGTGGCACCTGGAGGAAAGGGATTTGCAACTACCTTGTTTCTTTGTACAGAAGAAAGCTATCAAGTATTGGCATACATTTGCCCTTCTGGTATGGCACATCTCTTTCTTCTACAGGAATCTGTGAAGTCCCTGGGAAGTGTGGAGCTCCCACAGCTCTCCTGTCCCACCACCAGCACTGCGAGGAGCCAAGGTGAGAACTAGAGCAGCTGAGAAGGTTGTGCTGCTGTGTGAATGAGTGCTGACCACCTCCAGAGGCATGAGGCTATCTAACTGCAAGCCACTAGCAAGGAGCTCTTCTTGCACCAGCCTTCTTCCATGCCCACAAACTTTCATGTCTGATGTTAGGCCCAGGACTTTCATTAAAATTTTCATTAAGTCTCATTTACAATCATTTTCCAAACTCTGTGAAGATAATCCTTTCTTAGCAGTTACTATCAGGGTGAATCAGTGAGAAATATTTTCTTTTGCATGCAAATGGAACTCCTTGCTCTCAAGCTGACTCTACTCTCTTCTTCAAGTGTATCAGCCTTCTCTCCCAGCTGCCACTTCAACAGCAGATGCAGCAGCTCAGAATTTCCCAAGAACTTCTGAATTTTCAGTACCCAAAACTAGATACATACACAGAATTCACCTGATGGAAAAAAGAAGTTTAAGCCCACCCCTGACAGATGAATGTTGCTGTGGGATCTTTTGGATACATTCATCTTCTTCAGTATGAAGATTAATAAACACATGAATCATTCAGGTCTGTCTACCACACAGTGCTGGTAATACTAGATAGCATGTTTACAAAGTTTTCCCGGCTATGTGAGTCAATCCAATACACACTTGTCCAGATATAAAAATAAATGTTATATAATGCACAGAACACAGAATCAATACGCTGGTTGTGTGCACCAAGCAGAAGAAAACAGCACAGGAGCTCCTATGCAACAACTGTCCTAAGAAGCAGAAGAAGCTGCCATTCTAAACCCAAGGCATTTGATCCAAAATTTGGTCTAGTTATTTTGTGATCTTCAGTAGCAATAAAGACAGCAGAGCAACAAATACAGCAATCCTGTTGTTTGTTCATGAACCCCAAAAAATAATTAGGCACAGTCACAAATGTTCAGCATCTTCAGATAATGTGCCTAGGCTCAAAAAGGAAACGTTTATGCTCCAGACTGACACAGACTGAAGAAATAACCCTATTAGTAATGATGCTGAGAGGGGGAGAGATTAAGATAGAGAGTTCAAAATCGAGCATGTTGCAATTTAACCCCCTTCCCATTAGAGAAAGAAATTTGAAAAGTAGCATTTTCCTGGCAGTTTCACCTTAAAATGCTTTATGCACATTAGCATGAAGGTGTTTTAATGAAACATACATTTCCTTCTCCAGTTTTTTTAAGCAAGTATAACGTTTGCATGATGTTAACAATTGCAAAACAAGTTTTCTATAAAGCAGAGAAATAAACAGCTACTTCCTCCCACACCAATAGAAAGCTTGTATCCATCATTATTACATGAAATTGTGACCCGATTACATGAGTACAGAAAAACTGTCCTAATTTCACAACTGCAAGGAAGTACAATCTCTGACATCTTAAAGGTATTCAAGGGGAATTGATGTTAACTTATTATTACAAGTTATCCATATATTTTAACTTGGATTTCATCTAAAACTTAAAATGGGGTGTAAGCTTGCTTTGTTTCAAAGCTCTACAGGGATTTATATAACATAGCCTAGTGAGATACACGGTTTTAGCGAAGCAGCCTGCTCAGGGATTCCTCAGATTTTAACTTTTGCACAGCAAGTCTCTTGGAAAAACACAGACACCTGTTGCTTTGAAGCACCTCACTCTTCCCTAAGATATTAAACACAAACAGTAAACCGCACTCTTCACACAGCTACAACAATCAGTCCTAAAATTCCTAATCTCTCCTCCCATCTTTCCCTGGGCCAGCAATTTTGCTTTTTGTGTTTGAGAGGCAACAAAAACTGTTACATACGTCTTTATGCAAACCGAGAAATGGCAAAAGGTCACAGAATTTGGAAACACTGCCTAAGTGAACAAAGAAATATTGGAAACAAAGCCAAGGCTCCCGAGGGCTATGTTCAGGGCTCATCGGAAGGAAACAAAGCCAGCAAGTTGGAAACCTGCAGTCCTGAAGCCCAGGCTTTCCTGATAGAAGGTTCCAAAACAAAAGTTCTGCAAACATCTTGGTGAACTCATGCCAAAACCCAGCAAAAGGATTTAAAGAGGCTTCATTTCAAAGGCAAGTTTCTTGGGCAGGAGAAAATATAGAAGGCAGAATGGAAAACCAACCCAGACAAAGTTTCAGGGCATCTCTGCATTTTAAAGGCATACATTGACAAAAGCCAGCTGTCAACAGCTGTCTTACCTGCACTTACTGGAGCTGCAAAGAAAGGGAGGGAAGAAGGAGAAGAGAGACAATGAGGGAAAGAAAGGGAATTAAATCAGGCTCACCAATTGTAAAGCTATAGCCATCGATGCTGAAAGTAGCACTCCGGCATTTTTTAAATCCTTCCTTTCTGCTGCTTGGCTCTGTCATGATCCTGCCAGCTTGTACTTTCAGCAGCAGCCTGTCTCTCCCCCCGTGGAAGCAGAGCGCTGGAGCTCGCTCTTAGCTGCCCTGGAATATCTATCTGCCTGTGACAGCACGCACACCCAACCTCACACATCTCCGAATCCGAGAGGCATGCACCCAGCAGCTTTCTCCTCCCCCAAACACTGTCGCTGGCTTGTTACCGACGTGCCTACTCAGAGTTTAACAACCGGTTAGAGGCTCCAGTATCTAACCCAGCAGTCAATTAGGGTAAGACTCCCGAGTCAGTAAGGCAGCTGGATCTGTCAAACCTCCGCGTAGGAGGCGGCACACAATTAAAAAAAAAAAAGATGAAGGGTTAGATTTTGCTGGGAACTACCCACTTGACGCTCCTTGTATCCCTTGCTGTGCTGTGCCCCTACTTCTGTGTCTGCCCTCGCTCATGGGGATTTCTGGCTCGCAGCAAACTGCGCTCAGATTTCAGCCCTTCAAATACAAGCAGCGTGTTTTAATCATTCGAGATATAATGAATCAACCCGAGATTACAGTACACCATCAATCATCTACTACACTAACGGCAAGTCTCTGGAAACACAACCGGCAGCAGAACACAAGAGATTATCAGTAAGTAAGAACTGTGGGAAAACAACCAAAGTAATTTAGCAGTAATGGTGATAAACTGAGCAAAATGTCCATGCACACACACACACACACACACACACACACACACACACAAGTCTTCTCAGCTCTTCCTCCTCCTGGTGGTTTGTCACATGGTTTGTAAACTGCTCTCTGCAGGTTTTTGACCCAATGATGTTTAAAAATGGGATTGAGAGTGCTTGCAGCAATCCACTGAAAAAGGCAGGCAAATCATCTCTATCCTGTGAATAGACAAAATTTAGACTCAAGGCTGGCAAAGTTTTCACAGAAGGCTAGCAGTAAGCCAAGGTTTTATAAATAGGTATCCAAGAAACACTGTCAATATCTTAATGATTCCAGTTCACATAAATCTGCGCAATCATTTTCTTTTTCCTGCAATGTGTATTAACACAGAAAAATGCTACTGAAGTGCTGCAAGTTTTCAGGTTCTCGACCATAAACTCCAGGTAAATTAATCAACTTCTGCATTGTTCTGGGTGGAAACCACATGGAAACACTGACTTTCAGGAAGGCTGCCATCAAAATAATAGCTGAGACACAGTTTGCCAGAAGCTTGCCCACACACAAAAAGGTTTACAAAATATCAGCAAACCTGGTCTGTGTTTAAAGTATAAACCTCAACTCTACCTTGGTTTCTCAACAAAAGCTTAAGTCAGATAGAAACACTGCACTTTCTAAATCCCCTCTCTTCAAAGGAGGGAAGAGAGTCACTACTGAACTCCAGTACTTAATTTGAATTCCACTTAGCTCTAGCCCAGTGAAGAGCCAAACAGACCTTTTTGTTAACAATGTATTTAATGATGCTCAATAATACAAGGCAAGTTCATTAAGAAAAAAGCTCTTATTAGTGAGTTTTTGGGTTTTTTACAGGAAGAATGTCTTCCGGGTTTCTTGGCCTTTCAAGACTGAAGTCTGAAATAATAACTCCTTAGATATAACATTTCCATCACTTGCTCCTCCTATACACAGCTCAGGAATTTAAAAGGAATTTAAATCTGCAATGAAGAATTCTCCGGCAGTTTACTGGACTCCATCATGTAGCTGCCCCTCCTAAACAATGCAGAAAAACAGTACGAGTATGAAGTGTTTCTAAGGAATCACCTTCTCTGTCACTGGTTATATAGGTCACATAAGCACTAATGCTCTGCCTAAGAAAGCAAAAGCATAGAGAATTACTCACACTATATCTAGAAAGCACAAAGTTAAATGTTATCTCAAGGAAAGGTAAATGTTGGAACTCTCAGGGTTAGGGTTTGGGGTTTTTTTAAAATATATTTGGTGACACCACTGTTTTCCGTAAACCATAGAAAGTATAGATTCAGGATGAAAAAATGTCAGAAGATCCAGTGATGATCTTGAAATTTCAGTCAAGTTTGCTAGTTCCAGGAGAAACTTCCTTCAAAAAAAAAAAAAAAAAGACAGGCAGATACAGTCTCACTTGCTCCCTGGCTTGGGCCGTGCACTCATGTAGGAAGCAGGAGAGCCTTATTAGCATTTCGCTTCTCAGGAGAATATCCAGGTCACAGAGCTACTGCCAATGTTGCCCATTCCTGATCTCCTTTACTGGGGCTTTGGCCACTTTGTACAGATTGCCAGAGAGAAAATGACCCAGTGATTCAGCAGCTGTGCACACCTGAGTTACCTTGCAATTGGACCTCGTTCAAGCTGCAACTAATACTAATTCAAATAACTGTAATAATTTGATAAGCTTATTCAGGTTAAAGTGAACAGTTTCCCCGGGAAGAGTAAAGACAGTCACACAGCAGGGCAAAGGGATAAATAAGGCTACAAGCCGGATCTCCCACATCCCTGGAGAGGGCCATGAACTGGCTGTTTGCAGCAGGATGCTCTCTCAATCAAAACTGCAGAGGCACTCACCTTGGGGGGAAAAGGCAAAGGTTTTGACCTGCAAGTTTTTCAAGAAGGAAACAGTTTCCTCCCAGCTCTAGTAAAAATTTAATCCATCTGCTAAACAATTACCAAATCGTATCAGCAACTTGATACCTGATCCTATCTGACTCTTTGCATTTTGCTGCTCAGCTCTTGGCTCGATTTCTGGTCTGTCATTTACATTCTGCTTCCCCAAACAATCCCTACAGATTCACTCAGGGTACAGTACATTTTCTACCTTCCACTGCCAGGCAGTAGCAATATAGATTGTTAGGCAGTTCTTGGGGCTGCAATTCAGTGCCGTGTAGAGCACTCCATGTATGTCATTTGTAAACCACCTGAGGATCCTTTGAGATGAAAAGCACAGTGTGAATTGAAAATATTTATTATTATGGCTGTAAACAGACCAAGGTATCCATGGTAACATTTAATTTGTCAACACATAAACCAGACGTTCCTTTTATATTTTTCCTTTATTTTTCAATGTGTAGAAGAGTTTGCATGGTTTCAAGAAGTCTGTTCTAGCCAAAGACCGTATCAAATCAAAGAAAATATCCATCCAATCTGCCATCCTCCAACATACATGCTCAAGGACATAGTGCAAAACCAGCCACGTATAACAAACAGATATGCAACGCCATCTTCCTACCCCTAGGCAGTCTGTTTCTGCCCTGCTGTATAAAAAGGCATATTATTTATGTAAATTTGTCTCAGCAAGACTGAAGGATTTTTAATTGCACTTTGCACTCAAATACTTTCCCAATCCTAAACTTTGAAAAATCAGTTGTATGGAGAAATACTTCTGTGTATCAGCTCAACGGCATGACTTGTTATTTCAGTCCTATATCCTCTGGCTCTTTAGTGTGAGAAAGGGAAAATAAAAGCATTAAGTAAAATCCTAGCCCCACAGAAATCAAGGGCATAACTCACACTCACTGTAGCAGGGCTGGAGCTCTATCCTCCTGGTTTTCCATACTTGTACTCCTGTTGACTCAGTTGCTAACACAATCAAGTTTCACAGGAGCAGTGATGAATTTAGGCCTCAGGCATCCATATGCTTTTGTAGTAACTGTCACAGAAGTTTACAGAGTAAGATCTCTGAATTTTTATCATTTAGAAATGTCCCAGATATCCTAAATCAACTGACGACTTGACTTTGAATATTAAGGAAAAAAATGCAGCCCTGCTAGGTCAGACTAAAATTCCATTAAACCCAGTGTTCTATATCCATCCCTGTATCATCTCCATCATTGCCCAAAAACGGATGCTAAAAAAACGCTAAAGATGCTAAAAATTATCAAGAACAAGGCAGACTGTAGTGATATCAGCTATCCAGTCACCACCAGTGCGGGCACCTCCTGAACAGCTGTGTTTTCTCTACGTTCATAAACAGTCAAAGAAGTTTTCTGTTCAATCAGCTTAAACCTTCAGCACCATCATCATCCTTTGGCAGAGAGGTCCAACAGCTTAGCTAAACATTGCATCAAGACTTCTTGCTTCTCGCCGTGTGGTTGCTCTTTAGCCTAATTCTCACTTTGGTGACTGATTTTGAAGGCTTCTGGCTATGAATCCAAAGGTGAGGAGCAGTTACATGGGTGGCAGAGGGGTCCCCACCACATGGGATTTCTAGCAACAAGGAACCCCTCAGACTATGGGTTCTGATGAGAGTGAACAACAGAAGCATCAGCCAAGGTCTTGCCTTTGAAAACATTGTTTGGAACACCTTACATTCACAAGCTTCAACTGAATCAATTTTACAAGCAGATATTTTTCAGAGTGGTTTTAGAGCGCTTTCTCACCCCTGGTGTCAGTGTCACCTGAAAACAGTTAATGTCCCAAAGAAGAGCTCAGCACTTTTCAGGACTGGGCATGATGCACCAAGAATTGATAAATCTCTTAAGAAAATGTCTTTCTGCTTCAGAGACGAAACTAAGCTGAAACCCCCTGAGGTGTTTGGTGTATTTCTCACAAGCAACAATGCACTGCAGGTTGCTTATGGAGAGATGGCATTCTTCCCTGAAAGCTTCTTTGTTTTACTGTTTCCTAGAAGTACTCCATCTGCATGTTATGATGATTTTATCAGACATCGTCACTGTCAGGAATATCCACTACATTTCAGTTATTTTTAGGCATGACAGCCAGAAGGCAATACGACTTTTTAATGCTTGGCTCTTCTGAGGCTTCCTGCTTGCTTCAAGCTTTACCATTTTCTCCCTTACCAAACGCTGACAAAAGGAACAGCCTCCAGTGTGCTGCAGCATTGTCTTGGTTTGTGCTATTTTGTATTTCCCAATATACACTCACTTTGCTATTTAAAACGACTTCATACCGTGGGTGAAAATCCAAATGCATCCAATAGATTCCGAGCACAGGAAAGGGAAAAATACCCTGTAATATTATTTTGAGCTTGGACTTCATCTTAACTATTTCAAGCAGCTGTGCAACTCAGAGGAAATGCACTGTTTCCTTTAGAAACACAGGAGGAACCTATAGCATCTAATTTTAGGCATCTAGCTGAGCTCCCTGAATGAGGAACCCTGAGGCTCCCCC